ACATACACAACCACCAAAATGCCCGGAATTCTTCCCATGAAGGTCATCAAGGTGGGCACCAGCTCTCAGAGCCGGATTGCCCAGGCTTGTGATCGCTGCCGGAGTAAAAAGATCCGTTGCGACGGAATCCGCCCTACCTGTTCCCAGTGCGCCAACGTCGGCTTTGAGTGCCGGACAAGCGATAAGCTCAGCCGCCGCGCCTTTCCCCGTGGCTACACCGAGTCCCTGGAGGAGCGAGTACGACAACTAGAGGCCGAAGTGAGAGAGCTCAAGGACCTGCTGGACGAGAAGGATGAGAAGATCGACATGCTTTCCAAGATTCACGGCAACCGGAGAAGCCCTTCAATGCCAGTCAGCAGCCCGGCCGCCATGGACACCCGGAGTGACGCCCAGCCCTCAAAGGAGGATACATTCAGAGTTCAGGCCGCGCCGTTGTTGCTCGGCGTTGAGAACTCTGATTCTTACTTTATGGGAGCTTCTAGCGGCCGCACATTTATTGGTAAGTTTTACTGCAGCCGTTTGAACAAGAATATCTACTGACAATTTAGCAGAGCAATTCAAGCGCAAGATCCAGGAGGCTGGCAAGCCCAGCACCGACTTCAACCTAGAGGCTTTCCTACACATCCAGGGCTGCAAGTCCCTCGGCCCCAAGACTCCTGAGCAGTCGCTCAAGGTTCCTCCTCGTCTGTTCTCTGACCGCTGCGTCAACGTCTACTTCCAAGAATGGGCTCCCCTCTTCCCTGTCCTTCACAAGCCTACCTTCCTACACATCTATGAGGAGTTTGTCGCCGATCCCGAGAAGGTCAAGAGCAATCACAAGCTTGCTCAGCTCTACCTCGTCTTCAACATTGCCGGTCTTTCATCAGATGCCCCTGATCTTCCTCAGCTGGCTGCCTGCGAGCAGCAATGGCGCAAGGCCCTCGACGCAGTCCTCATGGAGAACACCATGAACACTCTGCAGTGCCTCACCCTTGCTCTCCTCTACTGCACCATGCGCGCCGACTACAAGCGCCTCCAGCACTACAAGGGCATTGCCATCGGTCTGTCGCACCGCCTCGGCCTGCACCAGAGCCAGAAGCGATTCTCGTTTGGCGCCCTGACCATTGAGACCCGCAAGAAGGTCTTCTGGACCCTCTACACCCTTGATTGCTTCTCGGCTGCCATCCTCGGTCTTCCCAAGCTCCTCAAGGAGGAGGATGTCCAGGCCGAGTACCCCTGTGACACTGACGATGAGTACGTCACCGAGAAGGGTTTCCAGCCCACTCTCCCTGGCGAGTACACTCGGCTGTCCAGTGCTCTGGCCCTGTTCCGCGCTACCCGCATCCTCGCCAAGGTTCTTGAGAAGAACTACCCTGCTGCCACCTCTTACGAGATGTCGTTGCAGCAGATGGCCGCTCTCGAGAGCGAGCTTGATGCCTGGTACGACCAGCTGCCTGCTCATCTGAGACTCAACTTTGTCCAAGACAAGCCGTCTACAGATGTGACCGGCAGCCGCTCACCTCTCCTGGTATGTCACTAAAGAAATCCTTGAGGTATTTTTGTGGACTTTTCCCGCTAACGAACCACAGGCCCTGGCTTATTACTACATCCGCACACTCATCTACCGCCCCGCCGTCGGCTCCAGCCTGGGACCCAAGGCGGCCTCGGCACTCATCTCGATTGGCACCTCGAGCAAGCACATTATTCAGATCATTCAGCTGCTCGAGGAGCGCAGCATGACCTTTTCATTCTGCCTGAACCGGTCCGACCTTCTAGTTGTTTGCGGTATGACACTGCTGTACCACTCAATCGACCTCAAGCACGACAGCAAGATGATGCGCGACAATGAGCGACTGGTGAACTCTGTGGTCCAGATCTTGGACAAGACCCAGGCCACCGGCTCGGCCGACTTCAAACGTGTGGCCAGCATGCTGGTTACTGTGGATGAGACTGTCGGTTCACCCATGCACACTTCACGTGAGGTGTCGATGCCCGCTGCCCCCGCCTCCAACCGAGGGTCGCCTCCTGCGGGTGTGGCCCCCAAGAAGAAGAGCGCCGGCGCCACCACCTACCCCTTCGGCCAGCTCCCGGGGGCCGCGGCTAGCGACAGCAACTTGATGGACCAGCAGGAGAAATTGAGGCGCATGACGATGCCCACCGTTGCCGGCCAGCGACCAGACTTTTACCGTGCCCGATCTCGCCAGTCTTTTGACAACCTGCAGACCGAGGTTCCCATGAGCCACCGAGACCACCGCATGTCCCTGTCGCAGATCTCGCCGAACCCCGGCCACAAGGCTTCACCTTTGTCCCGACCCAACCTGGATTTTATGCCCTTTGGCCACCCCTCGCAGTCGCCGCAGCCCTCATCACCGCAGCAGAACCGCGCCCACTCCCACTCTGGACAGACACCCCAGGCCAACCCCATGATGGCGCACTCCCCTGTGGCTTCGGCAAAGATGCACGGAGTTTCAACCACTGAGTGGGAGACGCTCCTGGGCTCGTTGGATGGTGGCATGAACAATGTCTACGATGCCATCTATGGTGGACAGGGACTGGTGAACGAGGCATCGATCGCCGTCAGCAACTGCGGTGACTGGCCCCCGGACAACTGGGACCTCAGCGGCTTCAGCATTGGTGACTTTGGCAACAACCCTCAGCCCCCGCAGAGCGTTCTCAGCATGAGCGACGAGAGCCTCAGCTCGGGTGAGGAGGTTGGCCCCTCTGAGCTCGGCCTCAGCGTGGAGAATGTCGACTACCGCAACCAGATGATGGCCCAGCAGCAGCAACAACACAACCCTGAAGGATACATGATTGATAACCGGATGGAGGCGTTTCCCATGTAAGGATGGAATCAAAAGGAAAAATGATACCTCGGGCGGGTGCTTTTGAAAACTCTTACGGACTGGCATGACTATGAGTTTTACGGAGTTGTTTGATAGGGAGTTTCACAGGAGTCTTTTGGATGATTTGATGATTTGGTTGGGAAGAAGACAGTTCGGCTATTGACCGAAGGGAGGTAACTGTCGCTACTTTTGGCGGACTTGAGCGATTGCTTTTTCTCTATTATTATTGCGTCTGGTGTTGGCACTCTATGTAATCTGGGACCCTCAAGGTGGACACCAGCAGTTTATTGTTTGATTTTTGAAGGAGTTGATCGACGGGTTGGATCCTCGAGGAGGACTTGAACAACAGAAGAGAATGACGAATGATGGCCAGAGTCCAACGACGGGCCTCGCAAAGCGACGAGAGATTAGAAAGTCTGCTTGCTACTTCGTACATGGCTGAAAGAAAAAAAATTCAAACAAGACTATGAAGCAACTCGGTGATGACGCCTCGGCTGAACAACATGCCCCTATCCAGACTTCTTAGATGAGTGAAATGTGAGACAGGCAGAAGCAGGTCACAGACCCTAGTCTCGAGAACCGGCAGGCGGATGGGGATTTGTCTCTGGGAGGATGGGGGATGCGTCCATGCAGTGAGTGCAGACAAGCAGGCATGTGTACGCCAAGTCGCCAAGGATGCCAGGGCACGTCAAGAATTGCAACCGGCTAAGCCCAAGATATTCACTAATTAATTTAACCTGGCCAGGCATCCAATTCCAACAAGTGTCTTGGCACTGTCCCACGGGGATTATCTAGATTCCTCATAATCTTGTCGGTTGGATGTTTCTATGGCTTACTAGTTTCTTACACAAGATGCACACCCACACCTTTCCCCGGGACTCGCCTACCCCGGGTTTGAAGAATTAAAAAAACAATAAAGGAAAAAGAAAGGTAGCACTTAGCCTCGACCGGTCCTGGCCAAGTGTTGCCGGTGGCCTGCAAAGGAAGGGGACTGGACCGCGCCGCCTATAGCAGGGACAGGGGTGAGGAATAATGTTTGGAGAAAAAAAGGGCGGGGGGGAGGGAGTGTGATGGAGTAAAAAAAGAAAGGAAAGGAGAATGGGAGGCGGTCCGGATTAGAACGAGATTGGTCGCCGTTGTCATGTTGTGCATGCGGGCTTCTATGGCTTGGGTGTCGCGTGAGCGGGAGGGAGGCGTTGTCTTCAGCTCAAGGAAACGTACATTTACGATAAGCTGCAGGCTGCTACTGCTTAGGGTGCCCCGGAACACAAAGCCGGGTCTACCATTCATAATCCCCATGATGTTATTGTTAAAGTGTGGTGTTTTGGGTCGAGACCGTCGATCAGGAGCTAAGAGTGAGTCGAGAAGAGTCTCTCGCTTAGCGATAGAGTATAAACAAAGAAAACAGGTTTAATGTATTGAGTGGTCCCGTGACTAAGAAAAATATGACGGGTTCTTTATTGTGGCATGCTGGGTTTGAATGTATTATTTGTGTGTATTAGTTGTCTGTTCTTCCATCTCTGAGTACCTAGGTCAAATAGCCGAGGTTCAACTCTGACTGGTTGCCCGCTAGAGAAGACCAAGCTCTCGGAGTCTTGCCGATGCAGAAAGCAATGCGCAATGTACTGTACTGTGTCTAATACGCGCGTATTGCGTTTCCCCTGTTTTTTAGTCTGTTTTTGTAACTCCCACGCTGCAGGAATCCCACGTTCCGAAAGTGAGTTTCTACTGGGGAGTGGACGGGAGTTGAATTCGGATAATGACCGATGCCGGATGTGGCTGAAACAATATGTGGCTTGACACCCAAATGTGGCTGTGCAAAACGTTTCTTCTCTAGAGCTCCCTTTTGGCTGGGGTTAACGACGTAAACTCCGTCATCTGGACCAGGGGTCGTCGTTCTTCAAAAGGTGGATCGTTAATCATGGAGCCACTCTCCAGCCCGGAAGCCTTGGGATGAAGACGAGGCTTCTCTCTACGACAACTACTCTTGTTTCTTTGTCATTCTGCAGAGTATACGAGCGAGCGTCTTTTCTGTCGCGTGCTTGTTGTCCTGACCGCCAGTTTCTCCGATATATCCGAACGACGCATGAGGCTGCAGCTTGCCCTTGTTTCCTCTCCAGTAACCAACAACGACCTTCTTTTGCAAAAGTAACATCAACAGGAGTAGCAGTAGCGGCTATGTCACACGAGAGACAGTCCCTGATCGATAAGGATGCCCAAAGCGAGGCTATCCCACGGGGTGAGTTATTTTGCTTGTGCCACCTACGACAAGAGACAATGGTGCTTACACGGCAGAAAGCACCCTGGGCAGCTGCCCGGCCGTCCCTCCGGGATCCATCCCGCCGTCTTCCGCAAGCAATCGCGCATCGCGGCGCCAAGGCCTACTTTCCGGAAAACACCATGGCCGCTTTCCGGGGTGCACTCGGAGCCGGATCCCATGCCATTGAGACGGATGTCCATCTCTCGGCCGATGGTGTAGCCGTGCTGTCACATGTAATCAACTATTTTTCATAAAAACTAACCACCAAATCTCAAATCTTGTGAAATGGCTGACATGTGCACGCATGTGAATCTCACAGGACCCAACTTTGAAGCGATGCTTCGGCGTCGACGCCCGCATAGCTGATTGCTCGTGGGAGTACCTCAGCACCATGCGCACACTCAAGGAGCCTCACGAGGTCATGCCGCGGCTGCAGGACTTTCTCTCGTGGCTGGCACAGCCGCGCTTTGACGAGATCTGGGTTGTGCTTGACATCAAGGTGAGTCTTTCAAGATTTGACATGTGCAAGACTGGGTGCTAATGCGACTACTAGCTTGATGATGACCCTAATGATTTGATGCTTGCCATCTCAAGGGCTTTTGATAGTGTACAGGGGTCGGTGCCATGGGATCAACGTATCGTGTTGGGATGCTGGAACGTAAGTCGTGTTTGACTTATACACCCTCTGTTGTTCACCATGTGGTTAACTCACATCCCCTACAACGCCCTTCTCTATTTACACCCCTCATACTCACGATACTCTCACTCCATGCTCAAACAACTTGATTAACCCCAGAAATAGGCATCCTTCCTCCAGGCCGCCCGTCGACACCTCCCGACTTTCCCCCTCGCCCATATCAGCGCATCCCTACTCTACTCGCACCACTTCCTCCGCGTCCCCAACCTCGGCTTCAACCTCAACCAAAAGAGCCTCGTGGGACCCCCAGGTCGCATGTTCCTCCGCGAGCTCCAGCGCACTGACAAGCTCCTCCTGACGTGGACCGTCAACGAGCCGCGCTGGATGGAGTGGTGCATCCGACAGAACCTGGGTCGTTGGAGGACATCCCCCGGTGCTGGCCCTGCACTCATCGACGGGGTCATCACCGATGATCCACGGCTGTACCTTGATGTGTGTGAGCGTTTCGAAGATGAGATGGACGGCAAGGTCATCCGTCCCAAGATGGGACTAGCCCAGAAGGCGAAGGAAGAAGTAAAAGCCGTTTGCTCGGTGCTCTTCTTCCATGTCCTGGTCATGGCCTACCACATCGTCAGAAGAGTCCAGGGAAAGTTTGACTATCTCGAAGATCGCAAGAGTTTGGATAGACGGTAGGAGGTTGATGAGCGAGATGCTACTAATGAATGGGATATAGATCACAAGTCAGAATACACGAGAGAGAGTAGATGTTTATACAATACTTGGGATAATTTAGTTCAAATACACCGCTTTCTATCTATGGACATAAGTCATGAATAAAATACAGTTTTGGCATCAAGATCCAAATTGTACGACTATGTGTATTGTAATATTATCTTTTGTGTGAGGGTTCCACCTAATGGGCCTGATCACTTGCAAGTCACAAGAGTACTGGCTTCTTCACCCAGAACCCCATGGGTCACGGACTATTACAAAGAGTGACAACCCATCAGATGGAGGATTTAAACTTGATAGTAATTTTGTTTTGCTCAAGCCTGATCTAATGCACATAGCAACCCTGGTCCCTCGCCTGTAGCCCCCTACTGATCAGGGTGAACCTGGAACATATCATAAAATGCAACCCACGCCCTGCCCGTGATTCTAATCCGCAAAGCAATGATACAAACCAATTAATTAACCGCGCTTTTCGTAATGACGCTGCCTGCTCAAATCTCAACGTCAATGTCCAGGTCCAGCGACCCGATCACATCATCGTCCATCAGGGGCTTGTGGATTGTGGGAATGCCCTTCTTCTCCTGGTACTTTTCTTCTTGCAGCTTGGCCAAGTGTGACGATAGTTGAGACTTGGCTGCTGGCTTGGGTGTGCTTGTTCCTGGCGTGCTGGTGCCGCTTCCGTTGGCCGCCGGCTTCTTGTCCACCGACTCGTTGACATCGTAGACGAACTTGGCCTTTGTTCTCAGTCGTCGTGACATGTCGCCTTGATACGCCTCGCCACGCTTAATGGCCATCTCGATCTCGCGCGACTTCGCCTTCTCCTTCAACTGAGCCTTTCGTACTGCCTCGGCATTGAGACGTCGGTTCTCTCGGTTGCGCTCAGCCAATCGATCTTGTTCTGACTGTCCCTTGGGAGCCTCGGAGAGCTTGGACGGCCCCAGGCTTGTTCTAAACGCCAGGCGCTGCGTACCAAGTTTGTCGAGTTCCTCTTGGAGCTCTTCAACCTTTGCGTCGTCACCACGCTCTCTCGCCTCCTCAAGGATTCGCGACACACGTTCTCGCTCTGCTGGGTCAAACCGCTTCTTCAAGTCCTTGATCTTCTTCAGCCGACCCTTGATCTCCTCGCTCGTCCACGAGTGGTTGATAAGCTTGTTGATCTCATCGATCTTATCGAGGAGATAGGCTTTCGTAGGCAGCGTCACACCCTCGTTGTGACAGGTAACCTTGTATCGGTTGAGTTCGGCCTATCATTCATCCAGTCAGTAACTGTGTCGAGGAACCGAGGCATGTTATACGTACGTCTGAGAACTTTCCGCTCGAGGCAGCGATAAAGGGGAACTCCTTGATCGCCTTTCCATGGGCTGCCTTTACGTACTGATCCGTCACAAAGGTACCATTGGGTCCGTTGAGAGCGTATGGCCGGCTGGTGGTGAAACCTACATGTCTTGTCAGTGCTAACTCGTATATATCCTCTTCTATACGCACCCTTGATCAACGCCATGCGGTACTGTTCAATCCCGGTGTCAGGGTGTGGTCCAAGAGCGATGCGGATATAGCATCCCGTGATGGCATGTTCGAAACCAGGCGTGAAGCAGACCTGGGCGAACTCGTTTCGTCCCAATCGCACTCGGTCATAATCCCGTAGTTCAGCTGGCGGCTGGTCACGGGGTTCGTCGGCTTCGGGTGTTGGTGAGCGTCTGTGGCCAAAGTCATCGTCGCTGTCTTGGCGATCAGAGTCCCGATCGCGTGGGGAGTAGGCATCCTTGCGTCTCTCGTGATCTTCTCGCCGACGTGCCTTTTCCGCCCTCGCTCGGCGTAGGGAATCCATCGCTGATCCGCGATGAGAGTCCCCATGAGAGTCCCCCTTATCTCCTGTGCGTTGTCGTGATGTCTTCCCCTCGCCACCCTCCAGCTCGGCCGTGTCGGCGCTGCGCTTCTTCTTACCCTGCGTGCGCTCCTCATTCTCGACGCTGCTGATCATCTGACGAAGTAAACGGTTCTGACGTTGACGCTCAATTTCCATCATGCGCTCTGCGATAATCTGCTCTCGTTCGACTTCCCGCATGGCCATAATTTCGGCCTTCTCCGCCTGGCTCACGTACATGCCCTCAACGGGGTACTTGTCGTCATCATCATCGTCCGCAGCAGCGGCTCGGTTTCGCGACGGCTCGGCGTCAGAGTCGGATTCGTCCATAGGTGCAGATTCGAGAGAGTTCGGGGTGCCGGGTCCAGAGTATCTGTATCGCGCGTCAGCATTTGGTGAATTGGTGGTGGCGATTTGGAGAAGAGGGGAGCCCAGCCGCTCATTTGGCGCGCAGGGCAAGAACAGCATCCCGTGGGACAGGATGGCTCTTTGCGAAAAAGGTCACTTACGCTTCGCCTTCCTCCTCAGAGTCATCGCCTCCTCGCCCCGACTTCTTTCCCGAACCCTTCTTCGAACCACTTCGCTTGACAGGCGGCGGCGACGCCGAAATGCCCCTGCTCTCGTTGCCAGAGCCCTCATCATCAGAATCTCCACCCGCGAGGGCGAGAAGCTCGTCGTCGATATCGGCCATAGCGATTGCTCTCGGGGATTGGTGATGACCTCAAGCACAGTGCTCTCAGGGGGAGGCGCAAGCTCGTAAAGCTATGGCAGGTGCAGCAGGCGCGTCGCTCGCGTCTCGAGATGAAAATTTCGGACCGTGTCGAGATGAAAGAGAGCCCGGGAGGATGGCAGGGCAGGCGCGAAAGGTTTGCGGGGATGAATGAGGCTTCGTTTGATGGAGAGAATGTGTTTGTGCAGGAAATTGAAGGAGCAGAGTTGCTCTCTTCCACAACCTGTTCTGAATTCGTCGTCTGCTGGCTTGCGCTTGATTGGCCAAGGCTATGTCATTTACTGCACGTGTATGGCTGGTCCGTGCTTACGGCGAAGCTTTAGTCCGCTCTCGGTGAGCCGCAGCCAATCGGTGAACTCACCGAGAGGACCCGGAGCTCGATCGGCGCCGTCATAGTTTATCGTTCGATTTCGGGACTCCGTGAACCCTCGAGCCACGACCCCCAATTGACGACTTAAAAGAGGCAATCTTGACGTCCAAGATTTTGCAGTGACAATGGCCTCGACTCGAACTCTCATACGGCCTCTGTGCAGCCTAGGGGCCCGACCAGTTGCCTCTTTCTACAGACCATGCGTCCGTTCCATTGCGACAACATCCAATGCCCAGGCCTCAGTGGCCGCTGGATCCGCTGAAGCTCCCAAGAAGCGCAAGCCACTTACCAAGGAGCAAAGCGACTTTCTTGACTCAGCTGTAAGTTTAAGTGAGTCAATTGCACTTGGTGCACTGCTAACGGACCCTCAGCTTCGCGTCAACCAAGCCGGCGAGCTCGCTGCCGTCCTTATCTACGCCGCCCAGTCCCCCGTCATCCTCCGATCAAAGCCACACCTCCGCAAGCTGATGGGGCACATGTACGACCAAGAAGACGGCCACTTCAAGACCTTCAACAGCCTCATTCACAAGCACCGCATCCGACCTACCGCTCTCTACCCCCTTTGGTCCGTCATGGCTACAGGTTTGGGCTGGTCGACCGCCATGATGGGTTACGAAGCTGCCATGGCCTGTACTGAAGCCGTCGAGACCGAGATTGGGGGCCACTACAATGAACAGATCCGAACGCTGTTGGAAATGATCACTCAATGGGAGGCCGAGGGTTATGAGGTCGGCGAAGAGCTATCAGAGCTAGTCAAGACCCTTCGAAGGATCAGGGACGAGGAGCTAGAGCATCTAGATCATGCCGTCGAGCATGACGCAAGAAAAGCAGAGCCTCACTGGCTACTCACCGGTGTCATCCGAGCAGGCTGTCGGGGTGCCATTTGGGTGAGCGAGAGGGTGTGAAGCATCAATTTAGTTGTATTATACATGTAATATAGAAATACTTGCGTCTGCTGGAGTCAAAAAGATGTATACATGAGACTCAATGCACAAAAGGAACTCTCTGCGTGTGCTATAACCAGCGCGCCCAATGAATGCTCCCTTATTCCTGGAAAACCCAAACGCCTTGCCATGCTTTTGTGCAAACTCATGTTCAAACACGACTTGAAACAAGTTATGATTAATTGCTGCGATCTGTTAGCACTGTTGTCATCCATGCGGGACGGGTTACTTACTAGATAGCCAAGGGGGCAACGCCATCCACTTGGTAGCCCCAGTTTCCATTCTGCTCCTCTGTAAGAAGCCAGTCGTAAGGGAACTGCACAATGTTCCCCTGTACCATATTCAAAAGTTCCTCTGCCTCACTGCGCGAAGGCATATCGTCAACGGTGAACACGCCACGCCGGCTGTTCTTAGTGGTTGCGCGGCGCCTACGCTTTACCGAGCCGAACTGACCAGGCGGGGGAGCATTAGTCTCTCGCGAGGACGGCTTCTCCAGGGTCGAAAAGGTGGTTCGACGCTCCCTGTTCTTGGTGCTTGTCTGTGGCTCCAAGAACCTTCCGTTGTTGCTCTCAAAAGCAGGGAATGGCACATCTCCCACCGAATAAACGGGAGAAGGTGCCTCTATCGGTCGCTGAGTGTCAACGGCACTCTCGCTGTCTAGGCCCGTATTTGGTCGAGACGAGCCTCCCTCACCATCATGCAATGCTTGCTTCTCATCCATAGCCCGTGGTCCCTCGTCAGGAATAACGATCTTGATTCTATCATCATCGTGATGTCCAGAAAAGGGCAGCTTCTCGGTCAGCTTTCCAGCTGCCTTCTCAACTTCCGTCTGAGCAGCCTTGGCCATCACCTCTGGTCCTGGCGCGCCCACACCGGCACCAGCAGAGGTAGAACCACGATGTCGCGAAGAAGGAGGGAATTCGGAATCTTCGCCCCTTGATCGGCTTCGTCCCTCCATGCTTGAGCGGAACCTTTCGCCATAGGACATGTATTCACGATACTCGGCCCAAGTGCTCACCTCAGAGTCTGGCATGCAACGGAACACGCGGCGGT